ATTCTTATTTCCAAATCCTGGTTTCTTTCAATACAGAATGACTAGAAATGTACTATCTCATGGCAAACAGACAGTAACAAATTAGGTTTCCTCATAATATAAAAATAGGTAATTATTTATAAAAATTCACTGACATAGTATTTAGTTCTTTTACAGGCTTAATCTATTTCTCAAAATAACAATTTATTCAGAGAAATAGCTACCTTATCAATGTAGTTCATTTTGTTAAATTTCCATTAGTTTAAAAAATTGTTTTTCTTTTTTCAAGTGATCAGCAATGAGTTTTCTCTTCATTTCAGGTAAGTTCTGAAAGATAAGTGCCATAATTTCACAGAAGTTAATAAGTATTAGCAATGATGGTATATTGAATTTGATTCTCCATATATAAGACAACACCTTCAGTTCTTTTGTGAAAGTAGCTCAGTCGAGTCTGACTGCGACCCGATGGACTATACATTCGCCTGCAATGCAGGAGTTCAATCTCTGGGTTAGGAAGATCGCCTGGAGAAGGGAAAGGCTATGCACTCTAGTATTCTGGCCTAGAGAATTCTACGGTCTGTATAGTCCATGGGGTCGCAAAGAGCCGGACACAACTGAGCAACTTTAACTTTTACTTCTTTTAAATTATTTTGGAGTATTCTACAAGAGGCTTGTCTTTGAGGTTAGCACTCTACAAAACTGAAGAAGGTACAGTTTGTCTGCTATTACACAGATTCACTTTTCTAGAAAAGTCTCTCTTCCAGGTTTGGGACCCTTAGCCTTCCATACAAGGCAAGGTAGTGTCCTATTCCAATTACTGTGTATCTACAATTCAAATAGAACTTTTAAAGATTGAGTGTTTTAAGATTCAAAGAAACAGATGATGAAATTTTAGTAACAGGTGATTGGAGAAATGTTTTGGGACTGGGTACATCCTAAGAATTATAAAATGGCAGTATTCATAGAGATCTTAAATATAATAAGAAATTGAACTCCAGTTTGCTGATAAGTTCTCAAATTACAGGCTGCTACTGACTCACTCCTCTCTTCAGGGCAACATTACCTCTTCAATCCACAATCTTTATGAAGCTTGTGCCTGGGTAGGGAATGAGAGGGTTTCAGAATATCTATAAATTTCTTTACTAGTAATTCTGGAAAAAATGTATTCTTGCTCAGGTAATCTCCTTAGGGTAGGCCTTACTACCACCAGCACACAGTTTTAGACCTCATCTCATTCATCTTTGTACCTCTAGGTACAAGCATTTTCAGATGTGAATTTGTTTCAATTTTTGGTCTCTGCAGTATTATTTAGTACAGAAATGTAAGAGGCAAGCAAAGAATGTTCCTCTTATACAGGGAAAAAGTGAAGTTATAATTTCCAGTTTTTAACATGTCTCAGATCACTTTTCAAAAACACTGAGCAAGTGAATTACTATTGTGTTCCAGGTACTCTTCTGGGTTTGGGGAGTTCATCAGAGAAAATTTGACACATATATTGTTTTTGTTTTATCCAGACTGTGTAAAATCTCAGTCTTTGGATTTAAAAAATATTTTGAAACACCCTAGTATTTATAATCTGCCAAACAGATCTCACCTGTTGAAAATCAGTAGCAATTTCTATGTAAATAGTAGGATTTGTGAATTGTATTTCAGTTGAATGCTGATAGCCAAGCTTTAAAAATCATCTGTTAAAGACAAAATTTAGAAAAATTACTGATAATCCCACCCTCTAGAGATAACCATTTTTAATGCAATTCTCATATATATGATTATCCTACATATAGGATAAGATGATACAAAACTGTTGTTATCTAATTTTTCCACTTAATTATACCAAGAACATTTTCCTGTGTCATTGAAAATCCTGTAAACAATTTTTAATTCATGACTATATGTCAAATAATTATTTCTTATTGTCAGATATTTAAGCTACTTCCCCTTTATCACTGTTATCATAAATAATATACCTGCATGCTCCATTATCTCCCTAAGATAAATCCCACATAGTAATGCTAAATGAAGGGTACGGTCATATTTAAGGTAAAGAAAAAATATTGTCACATAGTCCTCCAGAAAGACTGTACTAATTTACATTCCCACCAGTAGGTAGGGCTTTACCTGTTTTGCTGCACCATTACTGAAGTTGATGAATATCATATTTCATCTTAAGTTTGGTAAGTTTGGTCATTTTTAATGTGACACAAGTTTAAGGAATTACGAGCCACAATCATAAAATAGAAAAAAAAATTTTTTTAATCAATACAAATGAGGAAAAATATTAAAAAATCCAAGAAAGGTCAGTATATGATAATGTTCCAGAACTGCAAAAATTTATTTCATATAAAATAAAAGTGCAAACACCGTGTCTTTTTGGGACAGGCTCAGGATGCCATTTAAAGTATGAAACTTATGAAACATCAATTTGCTGAGTGAAAAGAGAGCAGAAAAAATACAGCTAATGAAAATACAGACAAAATTGCTACTGTGGTTTCAGAAAGCTGTACTAACGAATGTGGTAGTTAGATGGCAAAATGTAATAACCGTGCAGACAGATAGTACATAGTTACTATACAAAAGAACCTCTCCCTTCTGAAGCTCTAATTTTGGTTTTTGTGTGTAAGAATTGGCTTGTCTGCTTTTTCACAATCTTGCTTTGCTTAAGGTAAGTTTGTGAGGACTGAATACAACAGATCTGAAGAGTCAGTGTTTCTCACAGTTCTCTTTTGCTTTCAGTTGTAGTTGGGCCCTATCTCTAAATCACATATTAGTTTTATAAAGACTGTGTATTGCTCTCCAGCCCACTAACTCCCTGAACTCCCCTTTTTAACTGCACAAAAGACAAAAATTTCTAAATATAAAATCAAGAAATCTGTACTTACCATTTAAGGTAACTTCAATAGAAATTTTTGGTTTGATCCTCGTATTCCTAATTTTTTAAAAAAGTTTTCCTAGTTAAAATTTTTTCCTTAACTTCTTTAATGGAAAAAGAGATGGGAATTGTGAAATGAGATTAACAAAGTAATGGCAAATGTACTTTTAAAAATTGGAAATTACATACACAACTAGATAAAAGAAACTTAAATACCCATTGGTTAACTTTATAGGATTCTGTCAACGTTATTTTTTAAATTATAGGTATCTTTTGTTTCTCTCAAAAACTTTTCTCCAGCACTGTCTCAAAGAACTTGGATATGAACCATACATTAACTTCCTTCAAAAGATGCTTCTCTCCGCGACCCCATAGCCTCTGGGAAAAGATATCCCGTCCACCTGAAAAGACTGGTTCTCGTTTGTATCCCTCCTCATGTACTGACGCCAACCTTCAACTTGTAGTCGCCCCCAGCACACACTGCTCTCATCTTTGCCCATGTTACAACCCGTGCAAAGAATGACAAAGGTCAGAGGCCGGCATGTCAACTCTTACAGGAAGCCCTCGGGAACATTAGCTTCCCCTACTGGATGCGCTGCCTCCTTTGTGCTCCCCATAGCACTTCTCTTGAGCTATTTTTAGCTCTTTATTGAGCTGTCAACCTCATGAAGACACACTATTGCGCTCGTAGTCTTCCTCTCACATCTTGGGACTTGGTAAAGCTGAATGAATGTCTCCAGCTTCCCCACATAAGGTGACGTGTTATCGCTGTTTTTTTACTGTCTTCCTTCCGGAGCCCGTTTATAGGCGCCTGCTTCTATCACCTATCCCATATTACTCTTAAACACGACAGAATGAATTGCGCTTTCTATCTACCTCCTCTGAGAGTTCTCACTCAGTTGAGTTTACGCTCGCCTGGGTTAAGAGAATCGTGAGAGGCGTGAGACCGGGTTATTTTATACTTCAACGTGTGGGGTTTGACCACAGACGTCCCGGAGAACTCTGAAGCGGCGGGTAAAGCACTTGAAACGGAAAATAACAAAAGCAGTGGCGAGAGAACAGGGAGATGAAACTAGGAAGCTGAAAGTGGTAGGACAAGCAGGGGAAACGCAAAGTGAGGTCAAGAAAGGGGACGAGTTGCAACCACGCCCATGCCTCCCTCGCACACTGTAGGCCGCTGCGCGCAGGGAAAAATGGTCAGCCTCCCCGGTAGCTCTCCCGGTCTCCTGCTGCCCTCGCCCGCCAGATAAGATACCCAGAGCTCACACCAAGACGCTGCGAAGCACGCAAAATTAAATTACAGGACGCCGACGGCCCATCCTAGAAACTTCATTTCTCACTCCTCCACCCCACCCAGCTCCTCCTCCCGGGGCCGTAGCCGCCCTCACGCCCAGGCCACGCCAAGCCAACGCCCACAAGCGGGCAGAAGAAAAAAGCCAGCTCTGGCCCTAGTTCTTTGGTGCCACCAACTCAGAACGAATTGCCCCGCCCCAGCGAGCTAGGTTGGCCGTGACACTAGTAACTGATCGACATTTTAGGATTTAAGAACTGAGCGAACCGTCTAGATGGTTCCCTTCTCCCGGCTCAGCTTCCGCGACTCCTCCCAGCGCCACGCCCCAATCCTTTCCTCCCCGCCCTACTTGGGGGGCCCGCGCTACTCATTGGCTGCGTGCCCTGCCAATCCAACTGACTTCGACGAATCCCGCCTCAGGGAAGGTGAAGATCGAGAAAAAGCGCGTACACCTGGCCTGAGGCGCGAGCCTAACGCCTCCAAGCTGCAGGCCGCTCTGGGGCCGAGGAGACTGCGGGCCGCCTTAGACACGTGGGAGAGGTCTCATTTGCATAACGGCCGCCCCTCGCGTCCTAGCGCGGCCCAGAGTCCCGCCCCTCATCCATCTAGAAGTCTGTTGGGCCTCAGGCCGGTCACTCCGATCCCGGCAAGCCTGTGGCGGGCGGTCCCGAGAGCGGATTGGCTCTGAGAGTTTCCAAAAGGCGGCGGGGAGGCGACTATAAGAGTGGGGAGCCGAGGGAGGGGAGTGAGAGACGCTGGTTGCGTTCGCGGAGTCTGGTGCTAGGTGACCGTTAGTTGAGACCGCAGATTTTCTGCGCCAGGTGTTCTCGTCTAACGTCCCTTGCCTGTCTTTCAGTCAGGATGTCTGCCCGCGGCCCGGCTATTGGCATCGACCTGGGCACCACCTACTCGTGCGTGGGGGTCTTCCAACATGGCAAGGTGGAGATCATCGCCAACGACCAGGGCAACCGTACCACACCCAGCTACGTGGCCTTCACCGACACCGAGCGCCTCATCGGCGATGCAGCCAAGAACCAGGTGGCCATGAACCCCACCAACACCATCTTCGACGCCAAGAGGCTGATCGGTCGGAAGTTCGAGGACGCCACAGTGCAGTCAGACATGAAGCACTGGCCGTTCCGGGTGGTGAGCGAGGGAGGGAAGCCCAAAGTGCAGGTGGAGTACAAAGGAGAGATCAAGACCTTCTTCCCCGAGGAGATTTCCTCCATGGTCCTCACTAAAATGAAGGAGATTGCCGAAGCCTACCTGGGGGGCAAGGTGCAGAGCGCGGTCATCACCGTCCCGGCCTATTTCAATGACTCGCAGCGCCAGGCCACCAAGGACGCGGGCACCATTACGGGCCTCAACGTGCTGCGCATCATCAACGAGCCCACGGCGGCGGCCATTGCCTACGGCCTGGACAAGAAGGGCTGCGCGGGAGGCGAGAAGAACGTGCTCATCTTCGACCTGGGCGGCGGCACCTTCGACGTGTCCATCCTGACCATCGAGGACGGCATCTTCGAAGTGAAGTCCACTGCTGGCGACACTCATCTGGGCGGGGAGGACTTCGATAACCGCATGGTGAGCCACCTGGCGGAGGAGTTCAAACGCAAGCACAAGAAGGACATTGCACCCAACAAGCGTGCGGTGCGAAGACTCCGCACCGCCTGCGAGCGCGCCAAGCGCACCCTGAGCTCGTCCACGCAGGCCAGCATCGAGATCGACTCGCTCTACGAGGGCGTGGATTTCTACACGTCCATCACCCGCGCCCGCTTCGAGGAGCTCAACGCAGACCTTTTCCGCGGGACCCTGGAGCCGGTGGAGAAGGCTCTGCGCGATGCCAAGCTGGACAAGGGCCAGATCCAGGAGATCGTGCTGGTGGGCGGCTCCACTCGCATCCCTAAGATCCAGAAGCTGCTGCAGGATTTCTTCAATGGCAAGGAGCTGAACAAGAGCATCAACCCCGACGAGGCAGTGGCCTACGGAGCCGCGGTGCAGGCGGCCATTCTCATCGGGGACAAGTCAGAGAACGTACAGGACCTGCTGCTACTCGACGTGACCCCGTTGTCCCTGGGCATCGAGACGGCTGGTGGCGTCATGACTCCGCTCATCAAAAGGAACACCACGATCCCCACCAAGCAGACGCAGACTTTCACCACCTACTCAGACAACCAGAGCAGCGTGCTGGTGCAGGTGTACGAGGGCGAACGGGCCATGACCAAGGACAATAACCTGTTGGGCAAGTTCGACCTGACCGGGATCCCCCCAGCGCCCCGCGGGGTCCCCCAGATCGAGGTCACCTTCGACATCGACGCCAATGGCATCCTCAACGTCACCGCCGCCGACAAGAGCACCGGTAAAGAAAACAAAATCACCATTACCAACGACAAGGGTCGTCTGAGCAAGGATGACATTGACCGGATGGTGCAGGAGGCGGAGCGGTACAAGTCGGAAGATGAGGCCAATCGCGACCGAGTAGCCGCCAAAAATGCTGTGGAGTCCTATACCTACAACATCAAGCAGACGGTGGAAGACGAGAAACTGAGGGGCAAGATTAGCGATCAGGACAAAAACAAGATTCTCGACAAGTGTCAGGAGGTGATCAACTGGCTCGACCGGAACCAGATGGCGGAAAAAGATGAGTATGAACACAAGCAGAAAGAGCTCGAAAGAGTGTGCAACCCCATCATCAGCAAACTATACCAAGGCGGCCCTGGCGGCGGCGGCGGCGGCGGTTCAGGAGCATCCGGCGGACCGACCATCGAGGAAGTGGACTAAACCTGCACTGAAGACAGCGTAAAAACCTCTTTTCCTTTCTATTTCTTTTTTTCTTTTGTTTCTGTTTCTTCTTTGAAATGTCCTTGTGCCAAATACGAGATCTATTATTGGAAGTGTTTAACAGGTGTATGCATATAAAAGGAAAGGTGCAACAACTTAGTTTAATGATACAAGATTAGTTCTAAAGTTTGATTTTTTAGAAACATTATTTGAGGTATCTCTTTAATGCATTTTGCTTGTTTGCTGACTTGAACGTTTTTTGGTTAGCTTAGTTTGTGCATGGAGATTTGAGACGGGAAACCTGAAGTTTTCACACAGGTTCTGTAGAAGTTTGGTAACAATAAAATACATAGAAGCTTGACTTGCTTATTTGTATGTACTACTTGAAGAGAAAAGTGAACATTGCAGTAATGTTAAGGAAAGGCATACTTTTTGCAAACGCATAAATACAGATTTAAAAGTAAAAAGCTGAAATTGATCTAAAAATTACTGTCTTGGAGTTTTCAATTTTGTTTTCTTACTGTTTTACCCATGTGGGTCTTTAACTAAATAAGGTATTAGTATAAGGTGAAATTTGTCTAACTCAATCTTATCTAATTCTCAGATGAGTTTCCTGCTTTGAATTACCAGCAACTTAAGGGGAGAAGATCTGGGTAAACTTTACCCTCCTTTTAATACAGAAACCAGAGTTGGCATAAATGTTCAAGTGAAAATCCACCTGAATATTCCAGCAAAATACAAGCTGTATTCCAGGGTTAAGTACAAAGATTCTTTCTGTAAACAAAAGGAGTTGTCTTCTGAAAATAGCCTAACATAATATGAAACAGGTTTGCTTTCTGCTGCATACAGGTGTCTGAAACAAGATCCAACAGACAAAGGTTAAAGCCACTTAATATTGAGTTCAAATTCAGTCAAACTTTTGTCAACTTTTTCTAGTAAAACAGTTCAAATTCTGGGCATATGGCAAATTCAAGAAGAATATGTTTTCAGCACTTAAATTACTTGGATGGTAAAGGAAGATAATAGTTTTTTGTTCTGATTTGACAATCATAGTGCTTTTTCAATACCTGCCTTAAACACTAGAATATATTTCTTTTTTTAAAAGATAAACTGCAAGATAGTCCTGTATTTTGTCAATATGCAACTTGTTCATTTTCCAGTATTTCCAATTTGAGATTGTTACAGATAGAAATATAACCCTTTGAAATCCACTATCCTGGGCTTAAGCTTTAAAAATCCACATCCTAAAAAAAAAAAAAAAAAAATCCACATCCTTGGAAGAAGGGGGTTCATGTTTATATTTTAGTGGACTGACTCATCTGCTTTGTACTGATTTATTCTCTTTAAGGAGAATTTGGAAGAAATTGAGTAAAGCTGATTGGAAAATGCATAGTTAATCTAATGTTTTCACCATACAGCCAATTTAATATATCCTTCCAAGTGATGTAGATTTACTTCCTGTTGTTCATAAGATAACAGTGACATATAGAAGCTAATTTTAAACTTACTAGTGGACTCTTCCATATCAAGCAGAGAGAGGAATTTTTGAAATATAAAAACTAGAGAATAAAATAGCCTAAAAGTATTGAGCTTCGGTCACAGTCCTCTCATGTAAGCGCTGACTCTGTGCATACGATTTTTTTTCTTTTAACAAGTCTCATTTGGGTAGGGGGAGGAAGATAAAAAGGCAGTTGTAAAATTGCTTCAAAAGAGACATTTTTTTAAAAGGTAGTTGTTCCTTACACTTTGAAAGGTGAACACAATTTGAGTTTTTCAGTGCTGTTCCCAGAGTGGAAAGTTTTCAGCAAAGAAGCATTAAGGATATTTCATTGCAGATAGCATCACATAAATATTTGACAAGTTACCTTGGTATTAAAAGAGTCAGGTAATTAGTAGCCTTAGAGTGACGTTTCACCTGAGTTTTTACCAAGATAATACTCATTCTGTTAACCTTTTGTTAGTTCTTTATTGAGTGTTTATCCCTTGCTCTAACTTCAAAGTATACAAAGTATAGTGGGGTCTTTAAGTGCAGTTTGGTATTAGTTTGACTAGACCTCATTTTTAGAAGATATTAGTTTCTAAAGGATCAAAAAAATGCCAAATGGTAATCTCTTTGATCCTATAACCTCTGGTAACTTGCTGTAACACTAACATCAATCTATGTAGATACTTCATTTTCTGTTATTTTGAAAAGTAATTTGTAAAACTCTTGAGTGCTTTTAATTTTGTCTTCTCAAATTTACCTAGATCTAAATATTGCTTAAGATAAAAAGCCACTAAAGTAGCCATTCATGTTTCCAGGGTCAGGTGAAGTTGGTAACTCAATAACTCAAGGGAACCCTTTAGCAGATGTTAGATCAGCCATAGACAAATGACAATGGAAACAGTACTTGAGTTCAGGATGAGGCTAAATTACAGTTTAAGGAATAATTAACATCACTTGCCCTTGAAAGTAATACTATGCTAGGGACTAGTGGTCATGACTACAGCTAATGAAATATGTATAGAATGCTTAGGGATTGAAAAAGTACCTTTCTCATAACGGGGACTTAATTTCTTCTTTCTTGAATGTATAATTAACATAATTGTCCCTGTTTTGAGGCAATGAATCTAGACAGCTGTCAAAATTGTTCAGAGTATTTCAGTTGTATGAAATTTCAAAAGAAGATTACTCTAAATTTTTTATCATATTAACTTATATGTATAATGGAAGTTAATGTACCTGACTTGTGCATTAGGAGATACTAGTGCTCTTTACATCTTTAAATTTAGCATGCATATTAAAATACATAATATATTCTATATGTCAAGGAGAACTAAAAATATTCTGTGTATAATCTTAAACATGAATATAATCTGACTAGATGAAATCAAAAGGTCTCTCTTATGAAGATCAAATACTGGGCTCATGATAAGGTATTTCAATTGGATGTAGTTTTTAAAAGTTGTGAGGCATATTTGTCTTGCTTTTGAACACTGGAACTGAAGTTTTAAAGACTCTCAAAGCCATATGATCACAAGACAACTGCTAAAGGAATATATATATATATATATATATATATATATATAAAACAACAGTAATATTCAATTGTTTCTGTATATTTAATGTATGAGGCAACTGTTTTGAAGGACTATCCTTAAGCATTAAAATTAGATATAAAATTTAAATCCTTCAAGAAAAATTATGGATCTTTAGAAGAAGAGCTCAGTATTTATTCTTTTTACAGCTTTTTACAAGTATTTACAGCTTTTGGGATGGAGATATTTTAGGATATATGTATTTCTAAAATTTAATAGTGTGCTACTTAATGTTGAAATGTTTTTCCCTTAAACAAGTGAAAAAGTCAGACTCTTCCTCCATCCCTTTAAGTACAGATTAGGATGTTTGAATTGAAGATTGGAGAAATAAGCACCAGAAATGGAGTTGCTAATTCAAATACTGGTATTGCTGTTTCTTATATATTAGTTTTAAAAGTAGAATTATAACATTTTGAAAATCTTTCCACTGATTTTTTCATAGTATAAATATGCATAATATCCAGTTAATATCTTGGGCCTAAAATTTGAGACAGTCAACTTAGTTTTATGTCATATGCTCTTAGTTCTTTGACCTTGAGAACTTAATTAGGCAAAAAAAAAAAAAATTTCCCTTACTGGGCATTTGAAATTATTAAATATTTAGACAGCACCTTTCCCCTACTTCATTGCATCATGACTTTGTTTTTTAAGAGAAAATTATATTTCCATATTAGGTTATGAGTTTCTAATGTCATTAAAAAAAACTAACTGGTGGAAAATCTAATAGATGGATGGGTCACTTTAAAAATAATGATTTAGAGTCATAAAAACAATTTTTAATCCCTCTTTCCTTAGGGTCTAGTGACACAGAAATATAAGATGGTAACTTCAGAGTTATCCAGGGTTTCCTCTAAGTATTAATATGTCCCTTTGGCAAAGCTGTGGTAACTTGTCATGTAACTTTTTTGTAGGTCATTATTTTGGGTTTTCAATTCCTTTATTTTTACCTTTAGTTTTGTATATTAGACAGTCTAAAGTTAAACATGGTAAGGTATAAAAGATCTTTGGTTTTCTATTAGCATTTCTTCACTCATTTAGCTAAACTGAAGAGGTTGCCTGGAAGTGTGGTAAATTGGTACCACCCAGAGTCCTTGTTCTTCCTTGGTCCTTTTTGGAGCTCCAACTCATTATTTCTCCTTGTTCCTACCCAAAGTTAAATACCCAGGTTGGAGACAAGCATTTGATGACTGGGATATTTTGGTGAATTATTTTCAAATGAGTCATCTTATAAGCCAGCCTCTAAGGCCATAGCCTCATAGCAACATTGCCAGTGTACTGGTGGGTTTCCTTATATCTGAGCCAATTGGAGCAGTTACCAGCAGTGGACTCGAGAGTAGATCATGAATCTTGGTGTTTACAATTTTATACTACTGTGAACAGTGATTGTGTGTTACCAAGTAGACTAGGATGGTGGGGTTAAGGGGAAGCAGTGGAGTGTCTATTGCTCTTGTTTGTAAAGTTTATTCGAGGAACTTCCCCAGTGGTTAAAACTCCACCTTCTGATGTAGGGGTGCCAAATTCAATGCCTGGTTGGGGCACTAAGATCCCACATGTGTGCAGAGTGCAGCTGAAAAAAAAAAAGAAACCAACTAGTAAATGGGTGTTACCCATCATCCCACCAATGTAAAGTTTATATGAAAATAAAATCAGGTATTTACTGACCATCTATTTAATGCTAATTAAGTTGTGGGGCTAAAACAAAAGCAGAATATATGAGGCATTCCCAGCCATATAGTGTCATTTAGCATTGCTTACCATCAGTGTTAGAAGGGGGAAAATACCAAACAAATCTGCATATCAACTCAGTTGCAAGAAGAAATTACGAGACACATGGTTTGAAAAGCAAATGCAGAAATGAAGTTGAACGTGGACTTCCCCAGGTTGCTCAGTGGTTAAGAATCCACTTGCCAAAGCAGGAGAGA